ACACACACACACACACACACACAAATAAATAAATGACAAACATGGTCTAAAATGTTCTAAAAGGTAATAATAATTATATCCAAAGGAAACAAGAAAAATATGCATGATATTATAAGAAGTATTTTGGTAAAATGTGGAAACGATCTCTTGGTTCCCCAGTTTTAAACTGTTATACTGAATCCTCACATTTAGTACAGGGCAATAGATGTACATGTGTAAAACTGGTGTCAATCTTCTCTCTACTTCAAGCAAGAAAGCAAAAAAATAAAGATATTAAGCTATTCTTTGAATTCACTTTACAGACTGACTTAAGCTACCAGTTTAACTTTGAAGTTGAATCTTCTGTGGTATAAACGTTCAAGCATATATTTGTTCCTGTCAGACAAAATTTGGTTTTGCTAAAAGTTTTTAAAAGTGTGGGTATATGAGCAAATACCTGCAGCAGAAGGATGAAATAGTCCACTGGGTGGTTGCGGGTGTAAAGATAGTGTGCTGGGCTCAGACGGTTGTTAGGGTCAAAGTGCACTTCCTGGTTGACACTGGGGTGACGGAGCAGGTGGAACAGGACCTTCTCAGATACACGTGCTGGGTTGAAGTGTTCCACTTCTACAGAGGCCAAAGGTCAAATAGGACAAGTGAACTCATTGTCTGGACAATAATGAAATGCATTTACACAAGTTTAAGGCACTTGACGATTTCCGTTTTCCTTCTACCTTTACCATTTTGCAGTTTACAGTTTTTTCTGTTTTACCAAATCAAGCAGTACATTAGCTCAAGCATGCCACAAAGTCAAGCTAGGACAAATCACTTGATTTTAAAGTCATGCCTCACCATCTATGGATTTAGATGGTAAACCTAATGACAGGTATTCCTTTAAAGTTATCCTGCAGCTTTAGGCAGGCTATCTGCAAACTTTGCAACCCATATCCACCTCAGCTCCTCTCTGTCATACTGGACTGACTCAAAATGTGTCATATTTGTTGTTGATTATGAATCGGTCCTATGATGAGGCAGCATTTACGAGGAAGTGTGTGATTTCTTCCTTGTGCCTTCCACGTAATGTTTATTAATAGATGGAAATATTGTTTTAACCATGTCATATTTTGGGTTAACAATAGATTCTATTCTTTCACATCATGGGACCTACAGTGACTGCAACCGCACCTCCCATAGAAAGTCAATGGATAATTTGAAATGACCTGTCAGGTGGACACTTCCCTAAAGGGGCCCCAGAGCTTTTACCCCAAGTACTTTTTTCTGTATGGTGTTTGTACTTTTACTTAAGTATAGGATCTGAACACTTTTCTCTACCACTGGACGCAATGAAATTTGTTGAATATTGGCTGTAAATGGACTGGTTCTTATATAGCGCTTTTCTACTCTGAGCACTCAAAGTGCTTTACACAACAATAAAGTGGTGTTACTAGCTGTGACCAGTCGAGGCTCAATTCTTTGAATGCTTCAGTAGCTTTTGCCAAAGACATCAATACTGGACCTTAGGTCCAGAGTTGAGTCATGATATACAAGCCTGTTTTCAGACAGAGGAAAGATAAAGGTGAGAACTAATTAATCTGCTATTAGTTGTTAGGGTCACTCTAATCATTTTTGCTGTGCTTACCAAGGCAATAATAATATGAGGAAGGGTTATGACTTAAACGTAGTCATGACTCATATGCAGCGTAGCTTCATGTTTAAAGGGAGTTCTTCCTTCCCATCGACTCAAGGAGCCGCTTACAGGGAATAGTCTATGATTGTTGGTGTTTGCTCAATAATACTGTAGTCTTGACCTTACAATCTAAAGTGGTTTGAAATGACTGGTTGTGAACTGACACTATTTGAATAACTGAAATAAGTAGTCTGGAAGGTTTCCTCTAGCATCTTTAAGTACACTGGCTGAACATTTTATTAGGTACACCTGTTCAGCTACTTAAACACAAATGTCTAGTCAGCTTTTTACATTACACCAACTCAACACATTTAAGCATGTTCACATGATCAAGATGACTTGTACAGTAAAAACAGAGCATTCGAATCGAGAAGAGAACTAAATTAAGTGACTTTGAATAGTTGTTGGTGCCAAATAGGCTGGGCTGGATATTTCAGAAACTGCAGCTATACTGTGTTTTTCCTCTCACAATCACCTCTAAGGTTCACAGAGAATTGTTCGAAAACAAGAAATGTCCAGATGGAAGCGTTTTTTTGGGTGATAAGACCATGTTGATGACAGAGCAAAATGGTCAGACTACCTCAAGTTAATAATAAAACAACAGTAACTCAAATAAGCACTCACTGGAACAAAGGTATGCAGAAGAGCATGTCTGAATGCACAACACATCAAACTTTCAAGCAGACGGGCTGCACCAGGAAAAGAGCACAGCGGGTGCCATGACGATAAGTTGGCCATACTCAAATAGCTGCCACAATTACCAGATCTTTTGAGGATCACAGATGTGCAGTGGACAAATCAAATGGTAACATGTCAACATTAATCAAAACCTCTTAAAAAATGTTTACAAACCTTGGTGAATCTGCCATGAAGACTGAGGATTTGAAGCTGTTATAGCTGCAAAGGCTGAGCCCACATCATTTTAAACCCTCTGGCTTAGAATGGAATGTCACACAGTTGATAATGGTGTGAAGGCAGACGAGTGAATGCTTTTGTCAATACAGTGTATATTGGTGGGGTCACTGCATTAAACTTTCTAAAATTAGTTAGACATTACTTGACTATGCACCACTTTCTAGACAGCTGTGACACTGCACGTATTGCTAAATAATAGAGTCGGAGCCCCAAAGCTTCTTAAAGTTGTTGTTTTTTGTAATGTCAAAAATCTAGTGTAGTGTAACTATGGTGTAACCTAACCTCTGCGTTAACACAATCTGAGAAGCAAAATCCTTTAAAGGGTGAACATGTTTTGGGAAAATGGGAAAAATGGGCAACCCCCATCATCAACTGATACCTATTTTAACAAGTATTTGGGTAAATAAAGAGCAGAGGCCCATTTCAAATTTAAATATGAATAAGTGGCAATGTGAACCATGGTTTTTGTCTTACAAAATTGAGAAAACAGTCAAATGTAAAACTATTACATTTTATTCTCCATAGTACAGTATGAGAGAAATATGGCAACAAGCAAATTAGCTTCATTGAGTCGATAAGCATGATAAATGATCCAGGGTTAACTCTCTGGAAAAAGGAAACCAGTTTGCAGAAAGCGAAATCTGGGTCAACAAATTTGGACAAAGACACATTAAACCTGCTGTTGAGAACATACACTTTGTGCCTTTTACAGACAAAAAGATATTTCAGATTTATACAGTGGAATATTTCGTAATAGGACAGCCTATCCAAATGAATCCTACACTCCACTCACGCTATGCGGTTTATCTGGACATCACGCACATTTATCCACACACAGACTCCAGCAATTCCTAACACAAGATTTTACACAACCTACACAATGTGGTCATTTGGTTATTAGATCATACTCCAACCTTATGGTACAATGCTGGTTATTATTAAAATGAACTGCTGTAGCCAAGTCAGTAAGGATATCATTAGCAAGCCTTTCACTGTCATGTGCATATTTTTGTAATTGCGGAATTTGTCCCTGTTAGTAAATCTGGTGTTGTTGATGTTGATTCATGCTGAAGACATTGTGCAGAAAATTATTGTTGCTGTTTTCCTTTTCTTTTTTTTGAGATGTTTGACCTAAAACTTTACTTTGTTGTTCTGACATTTAAATACAAACACATCTTTACACATTATACATTTACACATTTCCTGTAAGGGAAAATGTCAAAGTCAGAGACTGGTCTCAACTCCCCTTTAACCAGTTACTGCTTGGTTGACCAGGTCCGTGGCATAATCATTACATGTGCTGTGTTAAACTGTGACTATTTTATTCATGTGCTAGCTTCGGTCAGTAGAGATTTACAGATAAACACACATAATCACATACCTCTGGACAGGAAGCGGTGTGTGGCTAGCAGGAGTTGTGGTGAAGTTCGGATCTTGGGTTCTCCTTCAGGAGGCTTGAAAAGAGAAAACTCCTCATGGGTGCTGCGAGGCTCCAGAGGAATCTCCAGTGGAGTGAGGGGACGCTTTACTTTCCTGTCTACTGCAAGGGGAGTCAATAATAACAATAAATAACAATAAAAGAAGCAAAGAAGCCAATATTCCAAAAGACACTCACAGTAGCCATCAGATTCATCCAGGATCTCTGACTTGATGATCTCCTCTATGACATCTTCTAAAGTGACCAAACCCAGCACCTCATAGAAAGGATCTCCCTCTCCCTCATTGTTCACCTTCTGGACGATGGCCATGTGAGAGTTGCCTGATTAAAGGATAAAGGTTAATGGCAAATTATAGTGAGGAAAAAGGTACTTGGAGTAAAAAGAGTAACTCTGAATTATAAAGGAGACATAACAGGAAGGAGGGCTACAAAGTCATAACTCACACGAGTGATTTTCTTTAGATTCAGTGTGATAAAGTTACTGTTTAAGTCGTTTCCAGTACAAACTTCTTAGAAATCACAGAAATAAGCATCTATTAAATTCACAACATGCCAGTGATATTCTGTGTGGACTACATTAGTCAGGACAGGCCTGCACTAATTTAGAGTTGGCAGTATAGCAGTTCTGGCACCTCTTTACCTTCTATAGAAAAATCAAATTAAAGTTCAGGGCAGGCGTCAATGATGATAAATATTTAATTAATGAAGTCAGATACAGTACAAAAAGCAGGATCTTGGGTTGAGATGGGTTGTAAGGCAGTTTACAGATGCATAACAGACACACTGAAGCCACTCAAATAGTGCCCTATATGAGATTTACTAATAAAATGTGTAAAACGGAATCAGTTGAATCATCATCATCATCAGCTAATCTGAAGTGGGATTAGCTGGCATTCTCTGCTATTCTCAAGATTGTCTGTACAAGTATATTCTTTTGCAATAAGAGCTACCAACAGCTAATTAATTGTACTTTAGTATACATTTGTTAAAGGTCAATAAAAATATAAAATATATAGGATACTCTGGCTTTATTTATTTACTTTATTTATATCACTTCTCAAAAGAATGACATTATATACTTATCTATCAAGGCTTATTAGCTTCAGGATCACAGCAGGCAGCCTGGTTCTGCCTCTGTCTCTTGTTGTTGAAAGGGGGCCAACTCATAAGGGACTGTCTAACTGTTTCGAGTTTCTCTCTCTAATACTTTAAAGATTTGATCAAAGCATGTATCAGGCGTCATGAGACTTGAGACTTTTAATAATTCAGGATATGAGCAAAATGAAAGCTCCAAAATAAAAATAAATGTAAATAAAAAAAGGTGAAAAGCTTGCAGCATGGCAACTCTATAATTTTCTATGATTCCAACCATTCCCACAAATCAAACAGCAGCCAACCTTTTTTGAATTCCTCCAACATGGCATCTAGTTTGGTATCATTGAACACAAAGTGCAGAGGGTGATTGTAGAACTTGGTGATAGTCGTCATTGGGGTGCAGTCTTCTGGATCAACCAGAGCCAAGTCTTTCACATAAAGGATTTCCACAATGTTAGACCTGAAGGAAATCAAACAAAGGCTTATGATTGGTATGAATATGTGAATAACTCCCAAAGACCTTTCCATTGCACTCTTATGGCTACCATTATATTCATTCTTTGGTAAAAATGTTGAAGTTATAAAAGGCCTGGACACACATACTCTGGTTATTATTAAGAATATTTTGCATGTGCTAGATTATAAGAAAATATACACTTGTGCTGTTGTCTTTTTTGTCATGGTGGTTTCAAGGAATAGACATTTTTAAATGAGTGAATCCAAGGATTTACATTTATTCAACGTTATACCAAGAAGCCTAATTCAAAGCTGCCAATTCTACAGATATTCTGTTCAGATGAGGCGAATGCTGCCATGTCAAGTTTTTAAGCCATGTTTTTGTTAAGCTATTAAGTGAGTGTTGTGTTACTGATCCCACCTCTCTTCCTCATAAATGGGCACACGGGTGTAACCACTCTGCATGATCTCAGACATAGTGGAGAAGTCTAGGACAGCCGAGCTAGGCAGCATGAAGCAGTCTTTCAGAGGTGTCAAGATGTCCTCCACGGTCTTAATGCGCAATGTCCCACGACTGAACTCCTCCTTTACAAACTCACTACAAACATAATGAAGAAAACTGAGTCAACAATCAAGTCAATTATCAAATCTTCTAGGCCAATCTTTAAGAACCAACTTCAAGTCAGGTCTCAAATCCTACAAATTTAATGCAGATTAGTCCTAAAAAGTCTATTGAACCAAGTTCAAGTCGAGTCTTAAATCTTTTGAAAATGAGTCTGAGTCCAGTCTCAATACTTAATCTGTCTAAGGTGTTAATACAGTTAGACCAATACACACATGGTAAACTGAGTCTTGAGACTTAATCTGGTTCAAGCATCAAATTTTTACAGTGTTAGGCCAGGTCATGTTTCAAATCATTACAAGGCTACTATGGGGTCAAATGTCAAGTCTGTTAAAAACAAAACAAAAAAAAAAATCTAAATTTCAAAATACTCAAGACTTTCAGATCACGTGTGAGTCAAGTTTCAGGTCTTTCATGGGCAAGTGTTAAGAAGAATATAACAATTGTGAAGTCTTTAAAAAGAAGTCCACCCTCAGAAAAATCTCAAATTTTTTTGGACTAATCCAACTAGAACATCAAGTGTTTGGAGATCTAAACAAAGACAACTCCTAAAAGTCAAGTCTTTCGGGTTCAAGTTACATTTCAAGTTTCTACGAATGATGTTCCTGTTAGTCATTGGTTATGCAAACAGTACAAGAAAGCACTGGCCAAAATCACACCAAATGCTTCTGTTAAAGTAAACTGGGATGTCTGGTATTAATCATGAATCAAAGCATCTTAATGTGTCAGACATTTTAATCAAACATTAAACTCAAACTTAGCAAAAAGAGTCTGTGTCTGGAACACTAAATTGTTCCTGTATGTCAGTGAATCTAACATAATGTACCATAAGAATTATGCACTGTAGAGTATGACAGAACACACTTTTTGTTGGTTATGTCCTATAGTATCTTTTTTTCTAGTTCTGTTTACTCTGTATGTTCAGAAGCATCATGTTTTTTTCTTTCTTAAAAAACAAACAAACAAACAGATCAGGGTTTTTTTTTTTTAAACCAAGTGTCAATACTCATCGCACCTCTATGTCAGATCTCTGTGATACTCTCCCAAGTCCACTATATTTACCTGTAAGGATCATTCACGTTTGCCCGTACCATCTCCATGGCCCTCTCCCTTATCCCACAGGTACTGATGTCTCTCCTCAGCCCCAGATCCAGAATCAGGCCCAGAGGGCAAGACAGGGGGCAGGTAAGCACCATGCAAACCTGGGCCAGCCAGGTCAGACCAGGTGCCAGCTGGAAGCCGTAACCTGAGCACAAGATGTGAGGAGCCAGCTCAGCTAGGAAGAAGATAAGGAAGCCGCTGTTGAACACAGCAGAGACGATGGAGCCCAGTGCCCGGTACAGGAGCACACCGAGGACAGAGTGCCCCAGAGCACACAGGAACAACAAAGAACATGCCTGCGGTGGAAAAGACATGCGTTTAGAAAACACTACTTCATTTGCACCTTTCTTTCCCTGTGGCTTCCCCACGTGCTTTTAGAAACTCACCATGAAGTTCCCCCTCCTCCTTATCGGCTCCAGCCGTTTGGCGGCTCGTTTCTCCTCCTCGGATCCACAGCTGTGTAGGACATAAAGCTCGACTGGGTCCAGCCACAAAAGGCTCAAGTTCACCGTCCTCAGCAATCCGCAGATCATAAGCACAAGCACTATCAGTACGGCCAGACCCCACGGCGGGATGTAGTCTGCTGGCAGATCCGTGTCAGTGTTTATTCGCAGTCTGTCCAGGCCCGCAGATGTCCATGTCTCTCCACTCCGCACACACAGGTGGTAGTAGGTCTGCTCGTTGCCAGCTTCCCCCTCAGAGGTGCTAACCTCCACAGTTAGAAGCACGCTGTGCGCATCGTCGAGTTCTAAATTGGTCACCTTTAACTTGGAGTCCTGGCGGTTGGACTGCTCCTCGCAAGGGTCCGGTGTATCACCGACAGCCCCAGCCGCTCCGCCAGCTGCCCCTGCGAACGCGACCCACGGCAAGCTTCCATTCAGATTAAACCCGAAGACACGGAGCTTAAACGTGGCTCCTTTTGGTGCTGAAATGATACGACCCTTCATGCACAGCGGATCCACTGGTTCTTCCAGCCGCAGCCCCAAAACCTGCGGAGCTTTCTGGCTGCAGGCGCCGTACCTGATTCCGCAGAACAACACTACCATCAACAGGAACCGTAGACCTGCTAGGCTGGCCACCATATTGGAATTGGTCAGTTTGGCTTTGCCTAGATCACGTGACTTTAGCCCCGCAGCGGCCCCGCCCCCCGGAGGGTTGAGCCAATGAAGCAAAACAAACAGCGCAACTGAGCTGCACGGCGGCCATTACGGTTCCACACGCGCGCGCACAGGCCTCATCCGCGAGTGTGGATCTGTCGTACATGTTGCGGTTTTTTATTGCGTCACATCCCTTTCAAGAAGAGCCGAGTGCATCCGGTAGTGAATTTAAAACCGCGACAGACTCTGGCTCCCATTTTCTGTCACAATTCAAAACATATCACTTTAGGCCTCTTTACTTGCTGTTAAACTAATACAGCTGTCAGTACTGGGAGAAAATGTCACAGGCTGTTTGGACTTTTTTTTAGGCGGGCGGACGACCATGATGAGACCAAATTGAAGCAAAACTGAAAACATTAACATAGGACCAGTGTTGGTCAAGTTACTTGAAAAAAGTAATCAGTAACTAATTACCAATTACTTCCCCCCAAAAAGTAATCCCGTTACTTTACTGATTACTTATTTCCAAAAGTAATTAGTAGCTTAGTTACTTTTAAAAAACACGATTTACAACCTGAACAGGTGATAAAGCAATAGATCTTTCAGCCCAATTCTACTTTTTCTGCATAATCCATCATACAAAATTTAATCAAATGGAAAAGTCTCTTTTTAAAACTTGTTTTATTAGTTTTAACCTTTTAACTTTATGTATCAAGCAAAAACATAATTATATGCAACATTCTCCGACTGGAAGAAATTTGTTTAACATTTAAACTTATTTTCTGCACATTCCAGCACATAAAATATATATATATTTTTTTGTGTTTACACTCACTCTTTCAAATAGATGCAAAATTATTTGAAAGAGTTATTATTTATTTTCTGCTGTGCAAAACACAGCAGAAAATAAATAAAATCAAAGACTAGCAGTCCTTTTGCTCTATTTTCACCTGTAAAGCAGGAGTGGCGTAGGCGGAGGTTTGCCCTGGTGCAGGTGTGCCGCAGCGGTCAGTTGAAGAATCTGCGAGTTTCTCTGTGAGTTTCCCATTACGTGGTAGCGCACTCCCGGTGCTTGCTTGGAAGTTTAGGGGGTTTTTTCGCTGTAAAAAGTTTTCCTCCGATGCACAATGAACGCTAATGTTTTTGTCACTTTTTATGTAATCAAACTCAAAGTAAGGCCAGTACTTCCACGCTTTAGACGCTGCACGCTCATACTCTCTCCCGCACTCGATCCATTGTTGATCTGCACACAGCTGTTGTCAAGAATGTCGCACTCGCTTATGTCACTGTCATGAGACATTCTCGCAAAAAAATCATGGTTTTAGTAACGCAGTAACTCAGCATTCCTACGGGAAAGTAACAGTAATATAATTACCGTTTTTGCAATAGTAATCCCTTACTTTACTCGTTACCTGAAAAAAGTAATCAGATTACAGTAACGCGTTACAAGTAACGCAGTAACGTTACTGGGCTCTAACGTTACTGGGCAGTAACGTGCATAGGACAAGAACTACCAAAGTAAATCAGGAAACATGAGACAGTTCTCAAAGACGCAGACTAGGGAGGGAACACGAAGCACAAAAACAAATGTAACTGGACGTGGAACATAGTTTTTGTCCTTATGTCATCAAATGACACCTGGAGAAGAGAGACACGTATGTGAGAATGCTGTTTGTAGATTACAGCTCAGCATTCAATACCATCGTTCCCTCGAAGCTGGACAGGAAACTGCAGGATCTAGGACTGAGCAGCTCCTTCTGCAGCTGGATCCTTAGCTTCCTGTCTGACAGACGCCAAGTGGTCAGACTGGGCAGCATCA